TATAAACTTGCAATTGCAAGAAAAAAGCCAGAATTCAGAGTTGCAATTACCGTTTTTATTTTTAATTATGTGGAGGAAGAAAAAACAGAATTATGGGATGTGAACTCAGAATTGTATGGAAAAAGTCAGAATTCTGAGTTTATATCTCACAATTTTGAATTTTTTCCCTTAATTATGTTTATATCTCACAATTCTGACTTTGTTTCTTGCAATTCTAAGACAAGTTTTAATTATTATATCTAATAAACTAGATCTAATTGTGAGATAAATTTGCAATTGAAAGCAAAGAAGAATTTCAAGTCACAATTTCCTTTAGTATTTTTTATGTAGTGACAGAAACTTAAAAAAAAAACAGAATTGTCACCATACAGTGCTGTTGCGCTACGGGCGTCCCGAGTTCGAATCCCGAGGACCTTTCCCGATCCCACCCCCCATCTCTCTCCTACTTCGCTTCCTGTCAGCTCTGATCTGTCCTATCATAATAAAGGCGAAAACGCCAAAAATAAATCTTTAAAAAAAAAAATTGTGAGATGTAAACTTAAGTTCAGCAATGTACTTTACTTAAATAGGGTCAATTTTGATTTCACTTTAAAGGCCAGACACAGAAATGCTTTTGTGTTCTAAATCAGCATGAACACACTTTTGTTTTTTACTGAAATTAATGACATTTTTCTGCTGTTTCCCTACAGTTGGTCCCGTCCTATCCGTCAATAATGACTGGAATACCTCCTATGGTTCCACCTGCTGGACCATTCAGCTCTCTCCAGGGAGCTTTTCAGCCCAAGGTTTGCCTGCCACTATGTCTCTTAGCTTTCTGTTTTGTTTGAAACACAGCATTCTTAAAAGGCCTTGACGACGCTAAAGGAAGCCTGTGAATAACTTGATATTTCTTGAGTTGAGATGACCTCCCACAAAGAAAGAAAATAAAAAACAAGAAAAGTCTTGTGGTTTTCTATAGTTTTCAGATGAGATTCTGCAGTGTTTATTTTCAGACCCACATTTGCAAAGCCTGTTTTTAAAGGCCAGGAATAATAATAAATGTAAAGGCTGGGCTAGCCACACTTATATAATTACTTATATAAAAGAGAATGTGTGCTGTGGAAGAACAGGGCACAATTCATGATCATGTTAACAATGTAAATGAATATAGACGTAGTATTCACAAATTTTGTATTTGCAGGCCTCCAACCTACTAGATGTGGTGTCAAGGCCAGGATCTGTGCCACACCAACTTTTACAGAAGGACTCCAGAGTAGGTTTCCATTTAGCATCTGTTGCAAGGCTTCTCTAATGGGTCAAAATCTGAGCCATACATGTTCATGTGTCTCATTAAATATTTACAGCTGTTCTGTCTATCATTGAAGAAATATAAGAAGGATAATGTAATGTGGTTTTTTTTAGCTTCTTGACCCCATGTGTCCTAAACCAAAGGTAAGGTTTACATGTGATTATTCAACTCCTTTTTATTAACCTAGTAAATCACAATTCTTTACCCATCATTCATTGTTTTTTTATTTTCATTTTCCTTAGAAACCTGGGAAGTGGTGTGCAATGCATGTCCACATTGCATGGCAAGTTTACCATCATCAGCAAAAAAATAAGGCAAGCGCAAAAGAAATAACTGTTCTTTTTTAAGATGTGGAATATATCTAGTTTTGGACAAGTAATCTGTAATTAATGTAACCATTTTCTATTCCTGGGGTTACAGAAGCATATGCAGATTGAGCCACATAAATTAGACTTTGGGTTTAAGCCAGAGTTTCTGAATCGATCTGTCTCGAGCTTCATGGGACTGCAGCCACGTGATTTACCCCGTCCCTCCACCATCCTCTCTAATGCAGGTACAAATTACAGCATGGATCAAATCCACACTAGTTACTGTAATTTAGCCAAATGGGATGTTCCTGGATCACCAAGTTGTTGGTCCTGGAACAACATCCCTTCAACCAATTAGATTATAGGGTTATGGATTAACACGGTGCACTCATATCAACCTGGTACTTCCAATTGATTTTAAGGTAGTCCAGTCCTCCTACTAGAGGGAGGTTCAGCTCCAACTGTAATTAAACACATCTGAACTAGTTAATTAAAGATTTCAGGATTACTTAAAGGATTACTTCCAGGTATTTTAGGGCAGGTTGGAGCTATATTCTGCAGGACGTTGGCTCTTAAGAAACGGGACTGGACAGGACTGGGGTAGGGTTAGGTACTGCCAGTGTCAACATTAATGAATCCCCATGATCTCAGTAAGCAGTGTCCTGTGATGTTTATTAGAGATTGTCTGACAGAAACAGGACTGTGCTAACCAGTATCTACATCTGTCTTGTTAGGTCCCACACACCCTTCAGTTTCGCCCTATGGACCCTTACCGCATACCCCAAACAATCTCCACAGTGTAATCCCCCATCGTGGTAAGATTACGTCTGACTTCAAAATTTAATTCATATTAGACCAACATTACTCCTCAAATTCTAAACTCCCATATCCCTTGTTATTGTGTAGAGTCTCTTAATAAGCCACTCACCTTTGGAGGCCTAAGTACACTGAGTTCATCTGCCTTTGGAGGACTAGGAAACCCAACACTAAGTAAGTATATATTTTATCCTGACATGAAAGGATCTGCTTTTGCTGTAGGTTAAAAATGCAGTCTTCCTCTGACTGACGATAATTACTCTCGGGCATTCACAGCACCAAATGCAGCACATGGGACTAAAGATGGTAAAACGGTGCCAACTTCAAGTGGACAACTGGAGACCTGGAACAGATTGCACCAGACACCCTCATCCTTCCCAACGCCGCCTTTGTGTCCAAGGCCTTCTGAAACTGAGAGAGCTCCCTCCATACCAGACAGAGCAGCGATTACAAGAGATTCCCTAGACAACAAAGATGACAAGGAACGGTACGTACCAGCTATTTTGCGATTCCAAGATCAAGAAGATCTTGACAGAATCCTATCCGTCAGCATTCACTTCAATGACAGTTGCTCAGTCAGCATGTGCATCCCCAAAGGTTTGTGACCAGGTTGCTGCCATATTTGCTAAATGGGCACTTAGTTCTGGAAAGATTTTCAAATTGGGTACTTCCAAGGAGTCCTGCACTAGCCGAGCAACTGTTATTGAACAGTTGGGAATGCTATCAGATTGCTTTCTGCAGTTATGTAGACCTCCGTGATGTGTTTCAGGAGCAAACTGCCTAAGCCAGAGGTGTCCATTCCTGATCCTGGAAGGCCACTGTCCTGCAGAGTTTATCTTCAGTTTTAATTAAATGCCTAAACCAGCTAATTAAGGTCTTCAGGATTATCTAAGGAACCTCTAGGCAGGTGAGTTTGGGGCAAGTTGGAGATAAACTCCGCAGGACATTGGCCTTCCATGAACAGGATTGGACACCCCTGGTCCTAGATAACCTACCTGATCAAGAATTATTAGAGTTGACCTCCTGGTTAAGAGTTTAAATAGATAATCATTTATTTCAATCATTGCAGGGAACCAAAAGAGAAATCAAATGGAAGGCATTTGCCACCCATCAGGAATAGTGCACTGGACAACAAACAACCAACAGAGTCCTTCAAAAGTTCCTCTCCTGATGAGACCAAGGAATTGGAGCAGGCAAGAGAGAAAACACAAGCCCAAGAGCTTCCGCAACAAACTCGAGAAACTGAGGAGCCAACACACAAAGAGATCCAAAGTGACAAAAGAGAAAAGGATGTCAAAAGCGAGCAGCAGCAGCCCGCTGAGGACAAGCCAGCAGGAAAAGAGAGTTCATCACCCAAGCAACAGAGAGAGGATCTCAAGCGGTCAAACAGTGATAGCCAACCCTGGGAGCCAGCTGAGAAGAAGATTAGAGTCGAATATGAACCCCATGCCAAGAGCAGCAAGGTGAGAGTGAAGGAGGAGAAGAGAGACGACCAGGACCATGAGGTTACAACACACCAGAAAGTTTTGGAAAAACCATGGCAGGATCCCAGAGCCCCTGCTATTAACGCTTCATCTCTTTCAACTCTTCCTTTGCCAATAGGAATCCCAGCTGGCCACCCTGGTCTTGACAGGACTAGGCTAGTCTCACCTTTTCTGGGAATGGGTCCACTACCTGGAGCCGAAAGGCTGCCTTACTCGCCTCAACACTGGGAGTCTATGCGGAATGTTTACCAAGGTTTAGATCTTCCTCGGAGGGACTCCTTAGGGAAGGACCTCTTAATAAGAACCAACCCCCTGCAACGTGCCATGATGGGGCACCCTGCTTACCCACGTGAGCCATTTCTGCAGTCCATGGCCTTGGAGCAAAGGAATCAACTGGAGGAACGGCAGCGTTTGGCCTTCCTGAGAGAAGAAAGCGAGCGTAGCCGCCTGTTGGCTATGCATTATACTGCACTGGATCCTCACTTACCACCTCCAGGACTCCTCGCGGTGGCTTACCCCAGCACAGGGCTCCCACATTACACCTCGCTCAGTAGGTCTCTACCTGCTGCTTATATGCACGCCCAACCACACCCGCTTTTTCCAATGCTGGCAGCACGGCCGACCCCTCTCACAGACAGACCTGTTTCGCACCCACACAGAGACACTGTGACTCGGTGAGCTGGACTTAATCAGAAACTGACAGACTTATGTATATCAAGCACTTCATGTGAAATAATGTGTAGTCGAAATGTACAGTGGTGGAAATTATTTTTTTTTTGTCAAAAAAAAAAAATTAAAATGACTTCTGAGGTGAAAAAAAAATTACTTGTTCATTTTGAATGTTAACAATATATTTGAAACTAAAGGACTTTAAAAAATACACAACTATTTACAACTATAGCAAGGCAACAATGGAACCATAATACAGCACAATATGCAAAATATTCAACAAGTATCAAAACAAATAAATTAGATGTTACCTACTTACCTACTCAAAAATGTATCTTATTGTTCCTGGTAATTTATACAAAATAAAAGCAAAAATAAATGTTTTAAAATGCAGAGCTAAAAATATCAAAGGTAAAATTTATGTAAAATAAAATAAAAATAAAAAACAGCCAGAGTGCTACATGGAGAACAAAAAAAAGTACAAATATGTATTGGACACCTGAGATCATGTAAAAACCTAAAAAATGCTTAAAAAAAACATCAGCCTCTAAACTTTGCATATTAGTTAATAAAAACATTGATCTAATGGAAAATGTTTAATCTATGGAGGTTAAACAGGTTGTGTATTCTTACACAGGTTATCTCTGATAAGAACTGCATTTGATAGGTATGAGATTACACCACATCCATTCCTAGACCTCTAGCCACTGCAGCCAAAGCTCTAACAGCCCCTGATGGCCCTGCAGGTTGGGCCACTTCTTCTGGATCCCCACTGACCTCAGTCACAGTGTTCAACACACAATACACAGATGTTTCATCGCCTTTTAATCCACTGCTGTCAGTTCCCTCCAGGAGCTCTGAGGTTGAAGAAGATGAGGAAGGAGAGGAGGGTGAGGAAGAATGCTGGGGAGTGCTATTGCCGCTGTCGGGATGCAGCATGGGTTCCTTGGAGTGACTGGTTGAACCAGAGACCTTGCGAGGGGTGCGCTTTTCAGCCATGTTTTTGATCAACTCTTCCGTAACCTCTACAGTCTCAAAACGCACCATGTTGAGCCGCAGATACCCATCCTCGTCCTTCTTGTACCTGTTCAACAAGCAATTTTTAGTGCGTGAAGGCAAATTAATAGCTCAGAAGCAACTAATTACATTTTAAGATACTATTAATTGCATACCTAAAACGGGAATGTCCAGATGGCCATTTGAGTTGATGCTTCTTTCGAAGGTGGAGGGTGAGTGTGTAACACCAAGAGAAGGTCTTGTCACAAAGGTGACATTTATACCTTGGAACCATGTTGTCCTGTTGCAGACAGTTTCCATACATGTTATTTTATGACATTACTAATAGTTAACTAAACCTAAAAAAAAGCCATTACTCAAAATAAACTGTGTTAAGTTTTATATATATTTATATAACTCCAACTAATCGTCAGTGCAACATTTATAGTTTAACTTGATGTACTAAAGTAACTAAAACTGAAATAAAAATTAATTTAAAAAGTACAGATATTTACAAATAAAATTTAAACAAATAAAGCATTAAATATTAAAATTTTAACTTACAATGCTAAGTACAACAGCATCTCCATCATGATACTAAAAAAACACCTTTACTATATAAAACTACTAATACTTTTGTATGTGTAAAAGGCAGTTTACACAATTGATCACATCAACACTAATATGAAAAACATAAATAATGTAAAACAATAAAATAAATGATAATTTTTTTTAAATAATTACATTTTTTAAAAATAATAAAAAAAATATATATATAAATTAAAAAGTCAAAATAATAAAATGTTATGTGTTGCCAACATGATTCAGTCTTTGCACAGTCAAGATCAGTAAACAATTCTATCACACTAGTTTCATAGTTCGGTATAGATGTGTCAGAATTATTTTCTGTAATAATCAACATTTAGACTCAAATGCTACAAGTACAGCTCAACTCAAAAACGTTCCTTTAAATATGAACCATGGCTGAGGTTACTGCACCCTCTGCTGGCTGACCTCATGTACTCGTTTATAGTGCTGGTTCATGGTGTGGGCCATGCGTGAAGAGTATCCACAGCCCTCTACTGTGCAGTGGTATGCTGCTCCCTCATTGTGAGTTTCCATGTGTCTCCGCAGATCATGCTGGTTCTTGAAGCTAAAGGTAAGGAGATAAACTATAAAATGTAAGCAATATATTCTTCAGTACTTCATTGAGTGTATGTGGACAGTGCGAAAACTCTCGGCAGCCACCTGCTCTCACAGAAGTCACACGGGAAGGGCCTCTCATCGCAGTGACGGAATTTGATATGGATCTTCAAGGTGGAAAGGGACGTGCATGTCATGTCACAGAGAGGACATTTTATATGATTCACTGCAAAAAAAGAAAGAAGAAACTCCGATATCTTTATAGGTGTAAAAGACACTTAATATTCAGTAACATTATGAATTTGAATGCACGGACACTGCTGAATGAAAACAAAACTAAACTGAGCTGAATAAAGACACTATTAATACTGTTATTTTCGATCTGGTTTATAAAGCAATATTGGGTTTTTTTTATGTGTCTATCTTCAGTATTTTCAATAATTGCTTTGTATTCATTAATGAGGAAGTTCAGCAGTTTTTGTTTGTTTGTTTTGCTGTTCGTCCGTTTTTACTTTCTTTCTTTCTGTATTTAACAAAACTTAAAAACCATAAATAAAATAATAAAAAAAGTATACTGGTATTACTGTTTATCACTGCGCTGCTTTGAAACAATCTGTACTGAATAAAGCAGTATATAAATAAATATTACTTAACATGGCATAAAGCATCTATAAAGAACAATACTGTTTTCCAGAAGATACCGTTCTTTTAAAAAGCATCCTAAATTAGGATTCTGGCTAATATCATAATCTGATAATTATTTTCATGCTATGGCTGATATTAAAATTCCATAGTACTATTTGGCCTAAATAAATAAAGAATATAGAATACATATTTTATAATGTACAATGTAAATTATATTATAATGTAAATGTAAAATGAGCATGCATAATTTCATATCCATTAAACTTAAATCTCCAATATCAGCCAGTAACTGATATGGTATTGATATATTGTGTATCCCAATCTCAAAAGTTTAACTTACAAATCAAACTTGAACTCACCATGCTGACGAACATGGTCTCTCAGCAGCCTCTCGTTGGCAAATGCTTTGTCACAATGTCTACATGTTAGAGAATCTGCAATAAAACATATTTATGGAACAACTACAGACTTAGAGACATTTCATGGACATTCTTAAACATCAGTGTTGCTGTATTGTCAGCGAGTGAAGAGAAACTATTTGAAATAAACTGACCTTCTGGTTCTGCTTGTCTCTGGATATGGTCAAAGAACTTAGTATTGCTGGAGAACATACAGCCGCAGGTGGGGCAAGCGACCAGCCGCTCCTGTGTATGACTGCGCAGATGCTCACGGAGACGGTACTTGATTTTAAAGAAAGCATCACAGCCTGCAAAAATAGCAAAAGCGTTTCACATAAGAACATTATAAACACTGGTGAAACATTCCTGTTTTGCAGAAAGCACCTACCTGACCAGCTGCAGAAGAGAGCCTGCTGTCGATCAGGAAGCGGCTGGAGCTCAGTGCAGTGTGCGTGCATGTCAACATGACGGTAGAACCACTCAGGGTTATTAAAGGAACTCTGAAAAAGCAAAAAAACAGACAAGCTCATTATATAACGTCTAATTTAAAGGAATATCTCAACCAGAAATTAAAATTTGCTGAAAATGTACTCAGGTAAATCTAAGATGTAGATGAGTTTGCTTCTTCATTGGAACAGATTTGGAGAAATTTAGTATTACATCACTTGCTCACAAAGTGGATCCTTTGCAGTGAAAGGGTGCCGTCAATAATAACAAATTAATCTTTAACTTAAAACCACCAGTTCTGGCCAAATGACCAGTCCGTAATCCATAATAACATTTCGTGCAATGGAAAAAGTCCATCCCCTGTTGTTCTTTTAAAACCGACATATTTGTAAACAGTGCTTAATGCACCCTAATGGTTAGAGAGTCGGACTCGTAACCCAAAGGTTGCGGGTTCGAGTCTCATACCGGCAGGGATTGTAGGTGGGGGGAGTGAATGTACAGCACTCTCTCCCACCTTCAATACCACGACTGAAGTGCCCTTGAGCAAGGCACCGAACCCCCAACTGCTCCCCGGGCGCCGCAGCATAAATGGCTGCCCACTGCTCCGGGTGGGTGTTCACGGTGTGTGTGCGCACTTAGGATGGGTTAAATGCAGAGCACTAATTCTGAGTATGGGTAACCATACTTGGCCACATGTCACTTCACTTCACTTCACTTAATCTGTGGATATTTCTTGAATGAATTTCAGCAAGACCGACTTTTTCACTCGAGAAATCAATATTATGGATAGAGGACTTGATGATTACTTGTGGACTATTGTGATGTTTTAATCAGTTGTTTGGACTCTCATTCTGACGGCACCCATTCACTGCAGGCTCAGAGGATCCATTGGTGAACAAGTGATGTAATGCTACATTTCTCCAAATCTGTTCCTATGGAAAAACAAACTCACCTGCACCGTGAATGACCTGAGGGCAAGTACTAAGAACATTTTCAGCAAATTGTCACTTTTTGGGTCAAAGTAAAACAGAAGTCAACATGCTACAATACTAACATCACATTGCTGCCACTGACAGACGAACCCCTCAGAGACATCTGGGACTAGACTGCTGCTGTGAAGATCCTGAGTGCAACTAGGCAGTTCAGGGTGGGATTCAAGGAGCTGAGTCCCAATGTATTTCAGCTTGCTGTGGAAGATGTGGAAATGGGCATGAGCGATTAGCTCGCTTTGGCTTCCCATCGCCAGGAACTCACAGCCCCTCCACAGACACGGATAATCCTCTATAACAGACATGATGTTAAACACAACCATCTTAATATATGAACTGCCTACAATTTACATAAAATTCAAATGTTGCCACAGACATTGCATTAAAGATCTGCCTTATTCATCTACTTATGCATGCATTACAATATCCTACCCAGTTCCTCCATGGCATCTCCCTCCCCAAGATGCTCCTTCAGATGCAGAGACATATGATCACTCAACTCCTCCATGCTTTGACTCTTGAAAGTGCATGATGCCCACTCGCATGCCACCACTATTTTAGAAACATTTTTTCTTTTTGCCATCTTAACCTTTGAGAAAGCATACAACTACATAAATAAGACTTCTGAATACTGAGGATATTGCATTTGGCAATGACATCCCTCTAAACGTGTTTTTAAAACAGCTATAAGACGTCAGCTCGTGCGATGTAAACAAACGTTTATTAACTCGTAATCTCAACAAGGTTGAGTGCTGGTTGTTTGCTTCACTATACACAAGCTAACAGATCTCAAAACAATACCCTGATACTGCCAGAGAGGTTATGAATGATTAAATTCACTTACTCTGACGTTAAAGAGTCATCTGCTTTGAGGATCACTTCCTAGTTCCGTTTTATTAACCGGTCGAGGCTCAGAAGCGCGCGCGCACATTCAGGCATTAATGTAAAGGAAAATTCATATAGTCTTAAAATATATTGAGCAACTGGACTCTGTTCTGTAAAACTGCTTCGCTGTTTGGGAAATTAAATTACCTTAAAGTCCGCATGAAATCAAAACTGACTTTATTTACTTTACTAGCGTACATTGCTAGTAATGATGTGAACAATTAATCCGTGCAAGTTAATCCGCTGAAAAAAAAATGTTTGTCTTCGTAATGTTTAATCAAAATCTGAACATTTACTTCCGCTCATGTACTTTGAGCGGATGAGGAGACAGACAGGAACGCGGGTAATTTGTTTGTTTGGGAGGATGGAGAAGGTCGTGACGTGTTTCCGAGTCACAGACAAAATAAAAGCCTGGCTGAAACTTTCTGCTGACATGGGGAATTTCAGAAAGACGAAAGTAAATATAGGTTTACAACTGTGTGGAAGTGAATTAACAATATATTTTAATGCCTATGGGACAGAACAAGAAGAAACATATATTATACAGTTATTAGGCTAGTATTATTGGAGCTCGTAAACATAAAATGAAATTATATACGTTTGTTATTGGTATTATGTTAACATAAATATAATCAATAGTTATCATTTTTATTGGTTTTATTTAAGCCTGTGTTTCAAAATAGAAAAACAAGTGGGGGGAGATGCACTCAAAATAGCAGCACTCGCAATAACCACTGGAGGGCACGTGAGGACATGTTTTCAAATATTAAAAAAATGGATGATAAAGTAATCTGAATTCATTATAATCTTCATTCAAATATGATGAGAAGTAGCTGGATTTAAGAATGTGAAATTTTTATGCTGTTCTCTGACTTTAGAGCTGTGGTGTTGTACATTTCAGTGAGTTATACATGAACAGTTTCATTTTTACTAGAAAGCTACATTGTCCCATATTGCTCACGTTCACTATACCACACCCAAACAGTATTCGTGCAGTAACTTGAAATAGCCAGCACTATGCAGAGCCTGAGACTTTAATTATTTATTGAATTTTGTGAGGACGACTGAGTCGCTGCTGGGAGTCCACTGCATCTGCAATGTTTTTTTTTTCTTTCTTACATTGAAGGCCAGCAGCACCACCATCCTGAATTGTGTGTTTAAAGTGTAAGATGCTTCTAGTTTTATTAATAGCATTACATAAATTAGTTTATTTTGTCTCCTTAAAAAAATCTTGTGGGTCAGTTTTTCTCTAGTATGCTTCATTCATATCTAAAAAAGGCTCTCAAGTCAAATTACTCATTTTTTCATAACTAAAACAATACAAAAATGAAACAAAAATCTAATATATATTTCCTGTTCTATTCGTTTTCTATTAAGAACTTGGTGCCGACATCAGCCTTGATGCCATATCATTCAGTGTAAGCGTGCACACATACACACTGTGTTTCCATGTTTGATGGGGACTTTCCATAGACGTAATGATTTTTATACTGTACAAACTGTATATTCTATATTTTAGTATATTTTATTCCTAACAAACACAAACTTCACTGAAAACTTGATGCATTTTAACAAAAATATCAGGTTTTGCTATCCTTGAAGGGACATTTTTTTCCCAAAACGTACCTTAACCACACACACGATAGATAGATATAGATAGATAGATAGATAGATAGATAGATATGTATGCTTTAATTTTTCTGTTCTATCCAAAATGTGTTGCATGAGACCATTTTCCATTAAAAACATGTCTTGAGAATGATCAACCTCAAGGGTTCAAAGTAACAAACCACATCACCCGTGTATTGCTTTAATGATTTTAATCCATTTCATTCAATGCAAGCTCACAACACAAGCACATCACACTTAGAATTACCACTTGGACATCTGATGGCCCTATGTTGCTCAATATACAGGCACTACTGTTATGGAAAGCATAGCTTGAGGATAGCACCTAGAATGGTGTGCACAGCACGTGTAGGACAACCCAGGAGGAGCTCGGGACCAAGAGGCTGTAGATTTACACTGAGAGGGCTCTCACCCCTCCAGACCAGATCGGGTCAGAATGATGATTAACATACAGATGACTATGAAGGGCATGCTTCTGTCTGTCAGTCACATGGACCTCAGCTGTATGCTTAGCAGCATTCTTCCCAAGTCAATCATCCATTTTACAGCATACGCAAGGAATGCAGGCAGTTTTAGGTTTACATCAGCAAATTCTCTTATTACATAGCATGATGCATATGAGAGCACATTTGAACGTTGCTTTATTGAGAGCAGAGCAAGCTAAGCGTAAATAGGTCTCCATAGCATAATGCTCTACACTACAAGGTAACAATAACACTTTAAGAGAGACCATGCCTCAATTTGTTTAAAAATGACTGGCACTGGTGTCGAAAGAACTGAAATACTCAAAAAGTAAAGCTGGATTGTGTTCATTTGTTAAACATGGTGCTCTTGTGCACTCGTAAGGCTCCTAACTGCTAATTTCAGGTGTCACGCAATCTTTAAACATGCAGTTTGAGATGTTAAGACGTTCTTGTGTTCGTTGTTGACTGTTTGTGAGGAATACAACATTGTTATAATCTAACTGTGTGGTGACAAATATTACATCTTAGTGTTTGAGCAATGCTATTGGTGCATCTAATTAGAGTGGTCCATATACTTTAAATGAAGTCCATATCACATTAGATTGCTTGAAAGAAAAGACCATTATTGTTTGCAGTAAATATCCTTCAATGCAAGATAAAGCAAAAACCTTATCTTATATAATAAGGCATATGGTCATTTGCTCAGAGGCAGCATGCAACAAGGATTCGTGAATCATCTTTGCCACAGAGAAAGCTATTGATGTATATGGAAAGGGAGCAGACGCAGGGCAAAAGCAAAGATAGATTCATTATAGACTGGACAGTGGCCACACAGTCAAGACAAATCAAGCAGACAAGCCTTGATCCACTACAATACGTAGGTAACGACACCATCAGAGTCGGGCCATTAGAGTAAGGTCATTAACAAGGGGATGAGAGTCCTCTATTCCGTATTATAGCCTCCTCAACCCCCCAAACACAAAAGTGCACTTAATCTTTTGCCTCGGCTAGTCTGTTGATCATTTCTTTGCTTTTCTTGGTGACCCCTCCCTCTGGCTTTGGCTCCTGGTTGCTCTCTGAGGTTTTCTTCTTGGCAGCTTGACTCCCAGCGATTGGCTTCTCCTTTGCTTTTTTCACTGTTTTGCTATGGCTTGATGTCTTTTTTGGCTTGGACAGTGATATATTATGCCTCTCCACCTACAGGAACAAAAATTGGGACATTCGGTGCATTATTCCAAACTGCAAAACAACACACATGAATAAATGTCTATTATATATTTAAAGGCACACTATGTAATTTTCGCCGCTAGAGGGCACATATTCAAAATAAACAAAGAGACAAAGGCGTAGTTTGATGATGCTGTGACTGAGTGTGGAATCATGGGAGTTGTTGTCTTCATCCCCACAGCCGATGCAATTCGATGGGACTCGGGCAGAAATCATGTTCATGGATGAGCTAATGATTTATTAACGTAGTAGAATGAAGCAGGGTGAGGCTGAAAGCCGTCGAAGCGAAACGAGGCCACTGAACGAGCGTGACACACGGCTCGAAAGCAGCGGAGCTTTTATTGTGCCAGTCGACCGCTTCCTCTCCTTCCGGTCGCGCGTATGTGGGGAAAAAAAGCAGCGCTGTTTTATCATACTAGATACATTTGAAAGTTCTGTTATAATGCTACTCTGTGCGGTCGTCACCGGTCTAATAAAACGCACAACATATTAAAGCGTCTTTGGTGTTTCCATGTTTTCTACAAAACAAAACCGGAAATCGAGGTGTTATGACGTCATTAGCAGGCGACACAATGACACTATGGACACGGTCTGTGTCACTAGTTAAAATTGCTTATTTCTCTGGATTTAAACATTCATCGAAACATTTGGGATAATGTAAGTACACAAGTCAGCAAAATATAAAAAACTGTTCTAGTGGTTTTTGGATATTTTAATAAAAAAATCTTACATATTGTGCCTTTAACTGTCATATATATTATATAATATTGTACATTTAACTGTTCCAATTTGTTTTTTAAAATAAACATAAAAATAAAAATGCTTTATTAATTTTACCATATACACTACAATTCTACAATTTGGGGTCAGTAATATTTATTTATTTATTGAAAGACTTTTATTCTGCAAGGACACATTAAATTGATCAAAAGTGACTTTAAAAACAGTTTTATAATTTTACGAAAGAATTCTATTTTGAATAAATGCTGCTCTTTTGAACTTTCTATTCATCAAATAATCCTGAAAAAAATATATATAATGGAAAAAATATATCATATCATAGAATGATTTCCGAAGGATCATGTGACAACTAAGACTGGAGCTAATGGCTACTGAAAATTCAGCTTTGCATCACAGGAATAAATGACATTTTAAATAGAAAACAATTACTTTGAATAATAATAATATTTGACAATATTACTGTTTTTTTCTGTATTTTTGATCAAATAAATGCAACCTTAGTGGGCATAAGAGACTTATTTCAAAAACATAAAAAAATATTACAGACTCCAAGTTTTTGAACAGCAGTGTAGTGTAGTTTGTCATTATTACCCACAAACCTTTCTGGTAAGCACTCAGACCTTCTGAGCGCCATACACTTAGAAAACAAATAAATAAACAGGAAAAGTGTGTAATTTACAGTAGAAACACAATCACTGGCCCTCCAGTGCAAACTGTACATTTAAAATGATTTCAATAAAATAATTCTGAAAATGTGAATCATGTTTCAATTAGTATTGTGGCATCCAAGTTAGTATCTCATGACAGAAATACGTGTTAGGATGTGATTTTCAGGCCTTATTCAATGTGCTAAATGCAGATGATGTGTTTAAAACAAAAGGTGATTTGTTCTGCATACTCAAATAAAGAGATGCAGTTAGTTTTCGATGACAGCTTGGATCTAAGCCAAGTCCTTTAAAGCAAGCTATCAAAATGTGTCACAAAGGTTTATATATAACATATATAATATGTGACTCTTTTAACTTTACTTTCCAATTATGGAAGATTTCAGCTATTTTGCAAGGTTTCCATATTCTAGCAATGCTTTAAGCAAATGCCTTGCACAATAGTGATCAATGTGAGCTTAGTTTTGATACTAATGGAGTGCAGCCCTATTAGTATCTTTTGGCACTTCTGCTCCAAGTTTCTGAAGCCAGTAACCTTGCGGAAATCATTTGTATTCAGTTACAGTGGAAGCCAAATAGAGCCCCTCTTGATAGTGAAGATACTATTGTTCCATGCAAAAAAAATAAAAAATAGCATAGTGTTCAGCAAATCCTCATTGTGAAGAGGATTTAATCAGATTCGGCCCCACTGAGGATCTCCGTGATGGTGCAGCTGTATGGTGAAATATTCTAGATCCATGCTGTCCAAAAGAATCACTGAACACACCTGACTACAGAACAGAGCTGCTGTCACTGTCAGAACAGTCCTATGAGAGTGAGAGAGGGAGGGGCTACATCAACACATTACTTGCACATCAACACTAGAAAACTCTCCTTGTTTCAACATATTTGCTTTTACATTGAAAGGAGTGATTTGACCAAAAATGAAAATTCTGATATTTATTCATCCTCAAGTCATTCCAAACCCGTATTACTTTCTTCTGTGGAAGACAAATAAAGAAATTCTGAAGAATGTACTATTCAGAACAGAAACCTTAATCTAGAAATCTTAATTCTTTACTTATTTTTTTAAATATTCTAACTAAAGAGATAAGATTTTGAGTAAGAATGTTTCTGTAAAAAAGCCTCCGATGTCCGATCCATGAACAAATCGTTCTTTTGTAGAAATACTTCACCAAAAATTGAAAATGTACACACTCATAGGCCATCCATGATTTAAACCTTTTTTTTTTAAATTGGAACAGATCTGGAGAAATTTGTAAGTTTCTTACAAATGCACAGCTTTTCACTTCACAAGACACTGATGGACCAGAGTGGTGTGGACTCTCATTCTGACGGCACCCATTCACTGCACAGCATTCATTGGTGAGGAAGTGATGTCATGCTAAATTTTTTAAATCTGTTCTGATGAAGAAACAAACATCTTGGATGGCCTGAGGACGAGTACATTTTTAGCACATTTTATTACATTTTTTAACTGCATGGCAGATAGCAACCAAAAAAATTCTTCAAAACGTCTTCTAAAAAAATAAGTCATGCACTCATTGTTATTAAGTAAAACTATTAAAAATTGTTTTCATTAATTAACAAAATAAAAGGAAAATATTCGATGAAAACTTTCAACATAAATAAATGAGAAATTCTGCGTCGGCAACTAACTAAAAAAATAAATAAGTTTGGATTGAAGTACTAAAATTACTAAAACTAAAATTGAAACTAAAATTAAAATAAAATAGCTATATAGAATTTTTTTTTTTTTTTAAACTAATAAAAACGACAAGCACATAAAATTAGACTCAAATCTGAAAACATGAAAACTAACTATAACAGATTACAAATAATACTAAAATAACACTGCATGGAATGTAGTTTTATTTTATAGTCTTTTAATAGTTTTATTTGATTTTTCCAATATATATATATATATAAAACACAAAAACTAATAATTATGACAAGCACACAAAATTACTTAGACTAAAATCTGTAAACATGAAAATAACTATAATCGTTTACAAATAAAAATAACACTGCATGGAATGAACTGTCCTTTTAAGACTTTTTCTATCTCAGAACTGATAGCATTAGACTGACAGATGTTGGAGCCCTATATTAATAAAATATTTCAGAAAAATTCATACTCTTGCTTTACAATTTCATGACTCACAGTGTAATTAAGTTTCTAATGATTACCCTCATATCTGAAATTATTCATTTCATCATTTTGGTAATAAAACAGGGCAATATAGCTCAACAAATTGTGTGATCGGTCATAAACTGGTGACCTGAGAAAGCATCCTACCTTGCTGGAGTCTTTGCTTGGTTCACTGTACAGGCTTCGTATCCGACGGCGCTCCAACAGCTTGTTATCTGTGGCCTGAGGTTTGACCTGCTCTCCTTTAAAGGTGGCACTGTAACTGGTCTCCAGGCTGGTCTTCTCCTCCGCTAGAAGTTTGTACTGAGATTTCGCTTTGATGGGTTTCACTTGTTTGACATCTCTGTAAGCCTTAAACTCCGTCCTAGAGAAACAAAGAGATTTTGTAAATTAATTTTAGGCTTAAATAATTATACATATAATCAAAAATGGTTTGTGGTTCATTAAAGACCAAAACCAATAACCTGACAAACAGATCAGAACCATGTGGCAATATGCTTTATTTAGATGGCATCTAATGTTGAGGCTCTGACCTATTTAAATAGAGTAAAGTCAATATTCAGCATAATTACTCAACCAAAACAGACGCCTTGTAAAGAAATCAGGGCAAACTAATTGGGGCATTGAGGTGCATCTGTTGTATTACAGCTTTATGCAGAGTCAGTGTGCACAAAATGATCTGAAAACTCAAGAATGACTCAACATATTTTGGGGTAGACACCCACAGAGAGGAAATTACACTGGTGACTTGATATTTTTCAAAGACTGGATCTAAATCTTTCCCTCTATCTTGTGCGTAGATGAGTAAAAGAAAATTACCCAGTAATCAGATTGGTGGATAATCAATGAGGGTTTTTATGACCAGCTCTAAGTTTGGTTCCCCTTCAGATCTAGAATATACAGAATTAAAGCCCCCAAAAAGGGAGTTGATTTTGGGTACATTATCAATTTTATAATTTCATGGTAATTAGGAAATATTTGTCTGCTAATATGTATAGGTTTTATGAGTTTTAGAACCGATGATGACACAGCTGAAATGAGCATATACTGACTGTTTAAATGGCGATGTAGAAAACAGGATTACAAATAAAGTTGCTGATAAAATAATGCAGATACATAATGCAAATAAATGAACGCAAAAGAATGATGCACACAAAACTCCTGAAATGAAAAGAACAGCTGTTTTACATAATATTTAGTTTTTACGAAAAGTTAATGTAAAAGTGATTATTTAATCAATAGACAAGGGCATTGTTGGCAGATGTTAAAAATTACACATTGCTGCTAACTGATGAATGTACAGTATATGGCTCCGCTCCTAGGTTATTTTTTGCAACATACATACATACATACATAAAATAATAAATAAACAAATAACACTTCCCAGAATGTTGCAGGGAGTTTTTGTGACAAACTAAAGAAAACATATAGGCCAACATATAGTATTTTAGTTTTATTTTATATATCCATAAACTAAGTTTACCAGGATGTTCTGGGAACCAAAAGTTGTCAGCCAATCCCAATAATCTCAAAACGGCTAGATATTGTCCAATTCATATTTTCATTCTAATATCTGTTTCTTTAAAATGGCATGTTATTAACTGCATAAAAATGAAGCAGCGTACCTATATGAACTTCCAGATGTGACTTCCTCCTTAATCTGCCTGTTGCGAGCATCTGCAGCCGACCTCTTCTTTCCCTCCACTGCAACACCTTGCTCCATTTTGATCCCCTCTGACACATGCTCTTTTTTGTCTACCTTCTTTCTCCTTTCTTTACTCTCTTTTTCGTGCTGTTTTTCTTCAAGCTCACATTTTTCCACACCGGTATCAACCTCAGAAGCGGCCTGCTCCTGTTTGGAGAACTTGCTCTCAGCCTTACAGGGTGCAGCATGAGTGGGTTGTTTGGGGATCCACGGATGATCTCCTTTTTTCGGAATGGGCCACGGTTTATAATCTTTCTGGTACTGAGTCACGTTGCTGAAAGGGGCCTTTGATGGCTGAAACTCGTTTCTGGGTTTGCAGCTTGGTTCCGGACGCACACTCCAGGCTTTGAAATCCTCGCGCATCACAGAAGCGCCTGACCCGTCTTGAGATGATGATGCTGCGGCATCAGCGGCGGCGTGAGTCGCTCTGGTTGACGCCTCCTGGTGAGCGCTATGGGCAGGCTGGGATTCTGTGATGACCGGCTTCTGTGATATTAATGGCTTGGGCTGAGGGTGCAGATGTTGCACCTCGGCCACATCTGAATACTTCGTGAAAACCAAAGGCACTGCAATGTCACCTTTGTCAAACTCACTCCAGAAGCGGTTGATGCAGCAAGCCCTGGTAATACAGGGCCATGCCATGATCGATAACGACGAGGCGAAGGCTTGAATCTAAAGAGAAACGATTCAGAAATGTGGACCACAATGCATAAAATATTTTTTTTTTAATCAGAACAGCGATGCTATTTCCTTTAAATGTCCCTTCTGATGAAAGAAATCCTTCCAATGTTGAAATTCCCTGTATCTTAGCGTACGCGCTTGCGCACTTCCCTCAGCAGAGTAATTGCGATGTGCTTGTTTTCCCTCAGTTACAAATGTAAATTAAAGATTTCTTTATAGAAAAGACACCTTCATTGGCAGCTGTATGACTAGACACCGCACCGGCTCCCGTGTTTCTTCGGAAAACGCTCGTGGTCTGCGGAGTGAACTATCACCTGCAGCCGTCAGCGTCTGGGCAGCATCGGGTGGAGACGCCGCTCGTTTAACCATTTCAAGACTGACACACATCCACATCCACCCACTGCTTCACCATTTCTGCCTGCAAACGCTAGGCTACATGATTCTGGGACTTGTTGATCTGAAAACCGGCTCATTACATAGGCAACATTTATGACATTTAAGGGTCTAAAAGAGTTGTTGGTGTATTTCACAGAGTTGTCAACTAGGCCTATAAAACATGACATAATACAGATACAACTGCCATATTTAAAACGTCTATTATTGATGTATTATTGAGATGTACGGTCTTATAAAATTATGAGTAGCCTACATACATGCCAATAGGACAATAGTCTGTGCTCTACAACGAAGTACTGAATGATTATTACAAAATTGAATTGAATAAATTATTAAAAATTATTCTTATTAATAGTTATTAAATGACACAAATTTAAAAAAAGAAAAAAAAAAACTTATACAAATACATATTCCCACACTTGCATATACAAAATATGTCCTACATATTATATAAAATTATTGTTTGCAACTTTCTATTAGGTGGTATATATATATATATATATATATATATGCTCTAGTTTGTTTCACTGCACTTCCACATCTGTGAATGCATGTATGGTTTTGAAATTTGGGGTGAATATCGGACCCAGCCTGCATGAATGAATTGCTACACCCACTTTTCTTTTGTTCTTTTAATTCTTACATGTGTACAACATACCATCTAGTGGTGCCTGCAGTGATGGCAGTATGTGTTGCATGTGCATGTGTGTTACGTTGTGTAACCCATACCATGGTGTGGGGCAGTTAGCTCAGTGCAGATATCTGGTGATGCTGCCAGTGCTCTGCATCTAACTGACATTGCATCCACAATGCATGACCAAACTGGAAAGTAATGCCTTACCCCAATTAAAATATCATGTCAGAAATTCCAGAAGCAGAGTTCAAAGTGGCAAGAAAAAAACCTGATATCAGAAAACTTATCACAAGCCTTTCTAATGGTGTTTTTGCATGAGAGGATATACAATCTGTTTGGCCTGCTGTTCAGTGTCCTCAGATTTACACTCTTTTGCCTTTTCCCTCTAATCAGTAGTGGGATGAAAAGTATGTATGGCAACAATGTACATTTTCCTGTTTTTTTGTGCTTTAAATTCACACGTACGTGGATACAAACCTTCTTGAATCTATATGAAATATTTGCAGCAGCTCCTTGGTGAATTAATGTTTTGTACGCCCTCTTTAATCAATCTTTTTATTATAATTAAACCCACCCATCTACAGACACCAAAGTAGTTTAAAATTACATGATTTTATAGTAAAAGACATACTTACAAATGCTGCTCTCTTGAGGACCAAAGAGGAATTGACTCTAAATATAAAGAGCAACAGATGTTATGCACTATGTTTATCACTTTTCAATTTATTTTAAGCATTTGCATTGCAAAAGGGTTTTATTGCATTTACCAAATACTTACTAAAAATTAATAAAGAATGCATGAAATAAACTGGCACGGTGATCTTGCTAAAGCCATGGTGCTCACAAAATATAACTATTTTGGTTGCATTTGAAGAGTTTATTTGCAAAAACAGATAACTCCGTTTTTTTACATTTTCAAAAATCATGTTTTTTATTATGTTATTATGTTTTTATTGTGTTAGTTAGCAGTATTTTTTACTTTTTTTTTTAACCTAATCAAAATAACCCAACTACAGTTTGATTGACATTAATTGGAATGCACAATGAAAAAACATGAGTTTTGAAAATGGTTAAAAACAGTTTATCTGAACTCTTCATTTATTGACCGCATTGTGTAAAAAAAACAAAACAATAGAAGGCAGAATGTGTCTGCATCAGGCTGTGCATCTTGTGTATTTTCATGCAAAACAGTGTTAAGTTGGATATACTGGAGCAAGACTAAAACAAATCTGGTTAAACAGGTTGCTGCTATTACCACCAATATTGATGCAGGAAGTTCTTCATTTTCATAGTAATAAATGCATTACCAGGGAGTAAATAGCAACACTTAAGGTTTCATTTGTTGACACTGGATAAATACATTAGTTTACATGAACTTACCATAAAAATATTTCAAAAGCATTTATTAATCTTAATTAATGCTTATTTCAATGTTTAATACATTATTAAAATTAAAACATGCATCTGTTAATATATTATGGACCTATTTATATTCAATGGACCTGAGCTAACAAGAACTAATAATGAAGAGTTGTATTTTTATTAAATAACGCTAACAAAGATTAATAAATACTGTAGCAACTGTTTTTCTTATTGTTATTTAATGCATTATCTAACGTTAACTAATGGGATCTTTTTATAGCTACAAAGTAAATATATAATAGCTGCTGTAGTGTATACCTGTGACATTAGAAAGAAATTACACCATTATAAAAGACAGCATCAAATGTGCTTTCATTTTATTTACACTTCGGACCAGTTTTTACAAACGCAAACTTGTCTTTAATGGCTGATTTTTAAAGTCATTTTTGTCAAGTCAAAAAAGTCAAGCGATCAAAATGCAAGACTTGCAGATACTTACATGGTGATTTTTTTTGACGGTCCTCACAAATGTAAAATTTCTCCAGGGGGAAAAGACATGAAAATAAACAATTGGCATTGTATTATGCAAAACAATTACACAACTTATTAAAATTCCAGCTCGAAGATTTTTGCAGTCGAAACTTCTACGAAAGTCTCTACGTTTTTCCTGTTAATCACTCTCACATTCTTCTGGGTAAGTTTTTAAATAACACTGAACCATTTCTTCCAGGTCTGTCTTTATATGATAACTGATGTTCAGCACAGCCAGATTCTTACATCTTTGGTTTACCGCAGTGTCCGTGAGGTAAGCTTGTAAACGTCTTTGTGCGGTTTCACCTTGACTCCCATCAAGCTTCAGCACCGGCAACGTGGCTAATATTTTCAAAAACGCATTAACATTAGGGAAGAACTTCACATCGGAGTGCTGAAGTGTTTGGTGAATGGTGCACGGCAAGCTGACTTCCTTCCCTCTGTGTTTCCATTTTATCCTCCAACAGTGTAGTTCAGCAGGCAGAGTGTCCGGATGGGGCAGATCGCTCCTGTAAATGTCCGCATGGGTCTCCTCGGAGGTATTGAATCTCATTTGTCCCATGACCGCGGGGACGAGAGACAAGCACTTGAGCGCCTTGAGATGATTCTCAGAGAAGATCTCCTTGACCTCCTGCGTGATGTACTCCATAACCGGCAGTGTAAGATACTCCTTAAAGAATGACTCCGCCTGTATTTCCATGGTCTCCACCGCCTGTTGCTTCCGAAGAAACAACCTCGGGACTCTCACCGGGATCTCCATTGCAGTCGCCAAACTGACAGCCTCTTCAAACCAGAATTCGTGGTATACTTCCAGATTGTCCGATACCTCGTGCAACGAGTGCAGTACTGCTGTTAGGCTGTTGGCGGCAAAAAACACATCAATGGTTTCTCCTTGTAGGTTCTTACCAAAAGCTCTCGTAAAAGACAATGCGTTCTTCAAAATAACCAACGTCACGATGAACTCAAAGTCCGCCAAGGCCTCAGAAATGGCGTAAGCGTCACTGGTGATTTGGTCATTCCATTTCAGATCCTCATTGTCGTGTATGCTGTCCATGCACAGCAGAAGCGGCTCCATCAAATCGACGGCCATCTCGAACACATTATGAAGATCAGTCCATGTTGAACGAGAGCCCTCTTTGAGAATGCTCTCTTTTTCTATGTTTCCCTGACACAGGATGGAGATAGCATTATCAAGTTCGCTCTGCAGCAACGGAGATGCTTTAAAAAACGCATTCGTCTTCTTCAGAACGGACATCACATCTTGCACTCCAGTCAATGGCATGCCATTAGCAAGATGAACATTAAGTGCACAGGTAGAAGTTGGCGTGATCACCGCCATGGGATATTTCTCCTTGAGCTGGGCAGCGATGACCTTCATCTTGGTGCCAAGTATACCAGATCCCGCATACGCTTGTCCTCTGCAGTGCTCCATGCTCAAGCCCCATCCTTTCGTCAACTGAGTCTCCAACCTCTCAGCAACAGCGACCTCTTCTCCTTCAAACGAGAGGAACTCTATGAACTCCTCTCTAAGAGAGTTGGCTTGGTCTACAAAGCGCAGGAATACAGGCAGGTGCTCTCCTTCTGGGAACTCCACTAACTCCCCAGTGACGATGGAAAAGAAGTGGCATTCTCGGACTTGCTGAAGGATCTCCTCACGCACACATCTCTCGCAGACCTCCAGAAGCTGCCTCTGCTGGACGGCCGAACAATATTCCTCATTAACAGCCGCTGTCTCGAATCTCCTCCGAAGAAATTCATCACCCGCATTGATACGGTTCTCAATTAGAGCTTGAAAGTTACCTGTAGTTAAGAACTGTTCCTCCTCGGAGCGCATCTCATCTTCTCTTGCATTGCAACTGAATGGAAAGTTTTGCCTTCCTATCAAAACCATGACTTCAAAGGAAGACCTTAAGAACTCTCTCAGGTCTTTTTGCTCGGGTGTCAGCTGAGGGATGTCGTCAGCATTCTCGCTGTCATCCTGAGCGTCGCAGTCTTTATTGGAGAGCAGTTGTTCAATTGAAGACTCCACTAAAGAAAGAGAGACACAAACGTTAAAAGCAATAATCATTCAGTGCTACAATTTTAATCGGTTAAGTAAGAAATCAGTTTTTAATCAGTATCAGTTACCCAGATGAGCAGAGTGATATACAGCGCTGCCATAGGCAACAGCAAATATTAAAAATGAACTGACTGCTAAATGTTGCAATTGACCAATCAGAATCAAATATTCTACAGAGATGTGTAATTATCGACTATATCTTACTTACGTCGTCTTTCTTTGATTTTCTGAACCTCTTCATCTGTCTGAGGAAAACAAGAATGCAAAGTGTCACTATATAAATTGTGTCCTGATTTATAGTGTTAAAGGGGTAGTTCACCCAAAAATGAAAATTCTGTCATTAATTACTCGCCCTCATGCCGTTCTAAACCC